TACCTTCCTCCGCGCTAAACTACCAAAGTATCTCCCGGGGATCGAACCAACGCCAGAGAGGTAACTGGATTAGAAGTCATCGACTCTATCCCCTCGACCACGGAGGCGGTAACGCTAACATTTAGCGCGTCTGCATAACGCTATTGACGTCACATCAAAACATATGCTCGTCCGTGCAAAAGAGGCACGGGTATGTAATAAATCATATATTTTTTTTTAATGATGCTCTACTTAAGGCATTTATGTATGCTGTCAGAATTCTGAATAAATAGATTTAACCATAAAAAAAAACAATTCAACATTAACAACATTTCCCCCTAACCGTTCATCGTAAAAAAAAGAAAATAATTAATTGTTTCCAACAGAAACGTGACTTAATTTTCTATTACAATGTACCCCCCTTTCATTAATATATATTATGTTGACGTGTATAATAGATATAAGATGATGAGTCATATCTAACCTTTTGGTAACTCAGAAGGAAATACAACTTGACAAATATGTATAAGTAAGTAATTTATTTATTATAGTGACATGTGTAAACATATTTTACAAATTCAAATACATGTAATACAAGATATTAAATACACCCGACCCAATGGGCCTATAAGTCACCTTCAATAAACATGAGATAGTTACATAAAGTCATAAGTAAATATATTAACAAATTCATTTGTAAAAAAATCGTAGCTATAACTATAAGTTTATCTGTAAATGCTTCACGTCTGTACAAGTATGATTTGACAATGTATTTAGCAAGAGTTCTAGATTTGTTATTTATCAAATAAACTAATTTTTTTGAATCAGTCTTTGAGTTAAAATCTTTTCTATTAAATAGTTCACCAAAGTATTCAAAACGTATATGTCTATAAAATGATCACTTTACTACAAAAATTCTTCGTTTTCGATACACTGATCGGTACAAAATCTACAGAGTCTATTTTCAATACGTTCACCAATGTAACGTCCTGTCTCTCAACGCGTAGTATCTTAACTGGGCAAGAAGTGATTGTTCGTTTCTTTTCATACTTAAAGAGACCTACTTTTCAGTTTTAAACTCTGTTTTGAATGAAGTATAAGTCCTTAGCTTTGACACGTTTTCTATCCCGATTTTCCATATGCTACTATGGTATTCAAAGATCTTAGAGCGCGCAAAGTCAAGATTTATAACCATTTTGTTGTAGTACGTACTCTGATAAACCGATTAAGGATAACATTTCTTTCAAATCACTACACCAATTATCTGAACATAAACTATAATCCATTTCAAATATATTCCTTGTTAGACGATTTTCTTTGAAAGAAAGAAGCCTATTCCAGTAACGGATAATATTAATCCACCGTCTATAATTTCCCGGCAGCCACGCGACGTCTCCCATTATGGCAAGTACAGGTGCAAAACGGTGAACACTCAGATATACCTGATTGCTCGATGCTGCACATTTTCTAAACTCTGGAAATTTCGGTATCCCCAAACGCCAGAGCAATAATCTAATATTGGTACTACCCACGAATTATACAGTTTTTCAAAGGTTTTAATACCGATAGATTTTAATGGATGAATTTTTGAGATTATCTTGCCGAGTGCTCTTCCTGCCGCTTTTCCGAGAGTTTCTGCATTACACGAGAAATTTCCATTACTGCTGAATACAACGCCAAGATACTTGTAATTCTGAACATTTTCAAGCACGTTATTTCCTATTCTAAAGTCATGTGTCGTTTGCTTCGCTCTCCCTTTCCGGAAGAGAACGCATTTAGATTTTTCACTGTTTATCAGGACGCGCCACCGCTTACACCAATCATGAAGTGTACCTTATAGTATTTGAAGGTTGTTTTCTATTTCTGCTAGTAAGACAATGTCGTCCGCGTACAGTAATGATGAGATCTTTTTTCCTCCTATTTCGTAACCAATATTTAGATCCTAAATTTCTTTCACGAAATCATTTATGAAAACGGAGAAGATTGTCGGTGACAGATTGTCTCCCTGCTTTGCTCCGGAGTTACAGTCAAACCACTCAGTAAGCTTGTTATTTATCCGAACACAAGAACTAGAATGTTGATATATGTTTCGAATTGTTTTATACAGCTTCCCGTCGATACCGTTAAGAAGTAGTTTATACAGCATCATTTCACGATTGACGAAATCAAAACATTTTCGAAGGTCTATACAAAGGCGATAAAGACATCCGAATTATTCCGAATGATGCTGTTCAATGCAAACACGTGATCCTCACATGAGCGGTTTTTTCGGAACCCATTCTGTTCGTCTACTAGTGTGTTCGAGGTCTCTAAATAATTTGTTAATCTTTTGTTCATAAATGCACTATATAATTTGCTTGTACACGAGAGCAGACTAACACCTCTGTAGTTCATTGGAACGCGGGGATCTGAAGCTGGGTCTTTATGAATAGGACAAATAATTGCTTTTCTCCAAGCTAAGGGTATCAAACTAGAGTCAAATATAAGCTGAAAAAGCTCCTGAAGTACAGTTATAACCGGTAGGGATTTCAGTGCACCATAGGGAATATTGTCAATACCAACAGCTGACCTAGATTTTGCCTGTTCAACTACTAAACAGATCTCCTCAATGGTAATGTTTTTATTTAGAGACCCGTTTGGTGTATAACGGATCGTCCATATTGTTTTCTAACAACAGTTTGTGTACTTTTGCGCGATCAAAATGTTTTTAGTTAAAATCCATACTATCCGCACCGTTATATAGTCTTTTCTCCACTTCTCAAGATCAGATCTTTCTTCACGTATAAGTATTGTGATGGCAATAAAAACATGGTACTGAAAAACATGTAAAAGGTGCAGTATTAAGTCAAAACAGCTTTCAGAATGCAAATAATAATATAATAATAATAATAACAAATTACTATTTAAAACTGTTTTTGTTTCAAAATATTTTTTTAAAAATTTTTATAAATTCTAACAATACGTTTTAAGTACATTCTAAAAGATCTGGACCCTTTAACGTAAGTGTAAAGAATGATAACAAAAGACAAGGCAATGTGAAGCTTTTAATATACCAATTATTATTCGTACAACAGAACAGAAAGATTTAATTATTTCACATTCAAATGGAAGACAAAAAAAAACACATATAGTACTAACTATTTTATAATCGATTTGCCTTTCTCGAAAATCATTTTGATGTTATGGTCCTTGGTTAAGGTAATTAACTGACAATTTTTAATACATATTTTATACTCCAATACCGCGTTGTGTGTTAGCCATTTTTATTGCTAACGCTAATTATATCGTATATTGAACATCTAAATTCTATACATTATCTGATTCTATCGATTTGTGAACATCCTTAACGAGTGTTTTGTTACTGCTCACATTTTAATTGGTGGATTATCTCCAAGCAACAAAGCAAAACGACGTTCAACAAACACAGCCCCGGACACAACCCAATCAGGCGACGTTCAACAAACACAGCCCCGGACACAACCCAATCAGGCGACGTTCAACAAACACAGCCCCGGACACAACCCAATCAGGCGACGTTCAACAAACACAGCCCCGGACACAACCCACTCAGGCGACGTTCAACGAACATAGCCCCGGACACAACCCAATCATGCGACGTTCAACAAACACAGCCCCGGACACAACCCACTCAGGCGACGTTCAACGAACACAGCCCCGGACACAAGCCAATCACACTAGTGGGGTACTCAGAAGGCACCCAATCAAAAACGAGAGAGACCACAAGGTCGGAGAAAAGAGGGGAAGGGACGTGCTCATTATTGTTATAATAAACACTTATATAAGAGAAATTATAGAAATGGTTAAATAAAAAAAAATATGAAATGATGTCTAAAGAATTTATTCTATACAATTTAAGTTTTTTGGATACATATTAGTAACCATTTGATCAAAATGAAAATTATCGATATTAAGATAGCAGGAAGTGTCAAATGCAAACGTAGCTTTCTGTTGTGAATTAGGAAAGATACTATAACATAAAATCATAGCTATTAAGTCTCACTTCATCTATGTGTGTATATAAGTCCCTATTGAGTCCTTAAAATATGAAACTAAAATCTTTACTCTTGATCCAAATTTTAAATTTTTTAGCATTTTAATTATTTCTTTTCCTTTTTTAGATTCCAAGGTTTCAGAATTTTGACATATGGTGTTGCCAATGTTTGTTATCAGGAACTCTGGTAATTGAAGTATATAATCTTCTGCCATTATAGCAAGAAAAAGGAAGTAACATACTGTAATAAAAAAATACAAATATATGTCTAATAATGCCCCAGAGCACACGAACCATCAACCATGCCAATTTCTTAAATTACTTCATTAAATATTTATAACGTTTGGGTATTATGTTGAAGTTCATAACAGATCGAAAGAAGCTTTTTTATTTCAATTCCCAAACCTGAAAAAAGATGGCACTGGCACTGGCCCTATAACTTTCTGTCAAATTAAAAGTTTTGCCTCGTTTTTCGCTTCAGTGTTGTTACATTTTCCTGGTCCTTCAGGATCATTGATTCAAGCACTTTTAAGTGTTGAAAATTGAGTACCGCTCAAGCCGGTGCTAGGGGGGCGTGAGGGATGTTGCACGTATTCATTATCCCTCATGTACAGACTCAATCAAACTGAGTCTGCAATTTTCATTTAAGTATGTTGTGATTATACTTCCGAGGGATTACCCTATATCCATCCACACATTGAATTAAATGAATTGATCATATTTATAATAAACAGAAAATAACAGATTAATAAACTATATGATCATTAAGTGCACTAAATTGTTCATTAGCTACTAGTTAATAACCTCAGTATTATCATTTGAAATATGAGAAAGTAATTAAGAAACGCCATTGTTTTTTAACACATTTATAATTGGAATATTTAACAATGGGTCACAGAATTGTTTTCTTTACCGACACGGTAATCAACTTTGCTTTGTCCGAAGTAAAACGCACCAATGATAACCCACGGAAATAAATTGTTAACATATCCCGACGGTATTCAACTGATTAAGGTATCAATTAAACATATTTAATGAATAAATCAGTCACCATATTTTAGTTATCTTGCTGTTGTGATATGGATACTAGGAGAATATTAGTGTAATTGATTGAAAAGTCTATGCAAAATATAATCTGCCAATATTCCTCCGATCAACTTACCGACAAGTGAATATCAAATATGAATTTTTATATACTGCTGACAAGTTTGTTACTGTTTTTCATGTCTTTTCCGATGATGACTTATTGTCAAAGTGGTACGGATGTGAGTGCACTGTTAACTCATTTATTCACAACTGAAGGTTACAATAAAAAAGTGCGACCCCTGAAAGATCAAACAACAGCAATAGAAATTAGAGTGGACTATTTTCTTAACTGTGAGTAATAAAATTCATAAATTATTGTATAATTCATTTCATTAATTATTTTTATTTATTTATTTATTTATTTATTTATTTTTTTATCTATTTATGAATGTACTTATAAACAACAATTTCTTTCTATACATGTAGTTACAAATGCTACGTGTACAGAGCACATCATCTTACAAAATATTGTCCTCCAAGTTATTGATAAATCACTTAAGATAGATCTGTGTATAAATACATTATATTCTCACCAAGTGTTCTATTTAGGGACAGCAAATGCATCAGAAAAGATCCCGCCGTATCTGGGATTCGAACTGACTACCTTTTGAATACAAGTGCAAGTAAAAACACTCCAAAGATTCAGTTGTCAGAAGTTGTAAATATACATGTATTTATGAAGTAAGTGTTCACTCAACCGTCACAGTTTTCAGCACTACTATTTCAATAAATATTAACAAACCATTAATAAAAATCAATAAATGATTTTCTCTGCATTATATTACATTATATTAACAAACTAAAAAGGATTGTTAACCAAATAGCCCCTGTCAACGTCATAGAGCAAGGCTCGATTGCACCTCCGTGTAGTCAAACTAGGTTCTAGCCTGTTAACTGACTTACTTTAAATTTTAAATGATATTGCCAATATTATTTAATGACAGTTCCAAAAAAAATTAATCAATTAAAAAAATCAGGAGGTTAATAGTTAAAGATCATGTCGGCATCATTCAAGGAAATACAAGTGTACCAATTTTGTTCCAATTTAATGTTTCTATATCTAGCACTTTCATTTAGCTATATCTAGCACTTTCATTCAGATGTATATCATTTTGGTAAAAACATGTATATACATTGTATTTCTAACACACATGAAATCAATCAATCAATCAATCAATCAATAAAATACTGTAAAAATATTAAAAAAATAAGCATGGATGATTTCATTAAATGTCATATATGTTATTTATTTTCAGCTGTAATCGATTTCAGTGAACAAGAAGAAAATTTGAAAATATCTGGCTTTTTAAGTTGTACATGGGTCGACGAGTATTTGAAATGGGACAATGCTTCATTTTCTAACATCCATGAGTTATTCATTGTAAGTATACATACACTTAAAGATGTTTGAAGTCTATTTATAAATGCTAAAATTTATTACATGAAAATCATTTATGTTAAATGATTAAGCTTAGAAATATCTGCAAAAGTCTGGATACTAATATTTTTTTTTATCTTTAGGTATGAGTTAAAGTGGTTGTATTTATTTATTTACGAAATACATGTGAACACCAACTGATTATGGAAACTCGAAAAAGCTACGTCCCTTTCTAAGAAGTGCAATCAAATTAAAGACCTTTATCACTTATATGCTGCATTGTGAATATCATGAAAAGGATGAGATTTAGACATTTATATAACTATTTTATAAATTGATTGATATATCCGTTACAATCAGGGTTTCTTTCGGCCATTACACAATATATCAATTCATGGACATGTGTCATCAAATTTGAGAACGATTTGACAAATATCAGCGACAAACATTGTCTTTTTGACGTATCAAAAGTGTTTGGTAGGGAGTGGCATTCGGGCCTAAGTTTCAAACTGAAACAATGTGGTAGGGGAAATTATCTTTTAAAAATGGATTTCAAATTATTTGTCTTATTGTAAACAATCACTTTTGTTCTGAAGTACTAAATATAGAAACGGGTGTCCTGCAGTGCTCAGCCCTTGGTCCCCTTTTATTTCTCATTTATGTGAACGAAATTGCTGAAAATCTTCTTAGCGTATCAAGACAGTTTTGCTGAAAATTGCTCTTTCTTTGTTTCCACTAATAATCTAAATTACATTAAAAGTACTATAAATTATAATAAATGGTCTTAACAATTTTTCTTTAATTCTAATTCAAATAAAACAGAAGTTATGTTTTTTCCTTGAAACCATTAATATAAATATAACGGGTCAGTAGAATTCGTAGATGATCACAAGCACTTAGACAACTATTTTATCATTTTTTGCGACTTGAAATGGCACGAACACATTTATATTACTTTAGCTCCAGCCTGAAAAATATTAGGTTACATGCGTGCTTTAATTTAACCAGCCCCAAGTCTAAACGACTATTAAGAATTAACATCAGCAGATGCACGAGGACGCATGTAAAGCCCAAGCCCATTGGGCGCGTTTCGTGATCTGTTTTTTGTATAAACAAACTATTTTGACATTCTCTCTACGTTCTGGTGCAATGTTAATTTATATACATTATGTTTTGATAATGAAACAACTGGTCGTCATTAATTAATTCTCTTAATGTATACCTGCGTGCGTAGTTTTCAACTAGAATTTCAGTTTTGTGCCATCTCTGATTTTTCATTTGTATGTTGATTATTTATATCATAACGACAATTTCTTATTATGTTTTCAGCCGCAGGATGATATTTGGAAGCCGGACATTTCCCTCAGGAACACATTTAAATCCTTTACTGGACTTGGTGCCAGTTACCTGAATGTCTTCGTTACATCTAATGGGGTTGTTGAATGGAACCCATACCAGGTAATCAATGTGTTCATTCGGCAGTGACATGCACTGTTTAGTATTAGAAAGGAATTCATTTAAAGAGTAGGTAAAATTTGCCGAATACAAACTTTATTATCGTCGAAAGTTGTTGCTCCTGACACATTATATCTAATTCAAGTAAGCATTGTAACGAGTGGTTACGAAAGCAAACGAATGATACCACAAGGATTTAAACATACATAGAGATTTACAAATGTTCTAAGTACTAAATATTCCTTTTAAGTCTTTTACAAAAAGGGTCTGAGGTGTGGGTCTTAATCAAGGTGGAATTTTTTATTCGCAGATTCTTTCATCATTTCATTCAAGCTTACTTTTTGTAAAACGCATTGAAGCTTACCAAACCTCCCGGACGTCAGGGACACAGTATTCGGGCATTCATGAAGTAATAACCGTTAATTCCATTGCTAGGCATGTATGGGGGATGCTCGTTAAAACATCCGCTTCTTTTCTCGGACTCTCATATAAAAAGAGGGCGAATCTGCCTGGACTAGTGACGCTAAATAAATATAACATTACAAAATTGCCACAAATTGGAACAGGTTGTCAAAGGTTTTCCTACCTAAGCGCTGTGAATCATGTATACATACGCAAGAAACACCGAATATCGAAGTTTTATTATCACAGTTACCTCAGAATGTGTCCTTTTTTAAACTCAGTGCATATTTTTGTGTAGATGTAGATATCATAAAATAACCAGAAAATTTAATGATGTATCTCATGATTCGAAATATAACATCGGAGTACTTAGCACTTTTGTTTATTGTACATTTAATTGTTATGTTCTTACTAAATAGAAGATGAGTGTACATCTTGACTTGAGATAGAACATAAATGAATTCCACTCATCAATTCGAACAACATCTTTTCCTCCCGTACCTAAATTTTAATGTGTGGAGTGGTGCGTGTCTATCTTTTAGTTTGATAACGAATACAAAACAACACCGTTTATTTCTTTCCAGTTATTTTGACTGTGATTTCACAGAAAATTGCTAAAGATGATATTTTGTGGAGTTATAACTGAATACAGTATTATTGCAATACAGAGACAAAAGGGATAATGCTACAAGAATCGTTGAGGGGTTTAATCTATTGAATGTATGATTGTTGGAAATGTAACTATAACTCACAACGCACTGGAATAGTTTGTTCTTTTAGTGAACTATCTAGAATGAGATGAGATGTCGAAAACGCTTTTATTAGAAAGTTAACAGAAACGTATAGTAAAAAGATGATATGGAAACAAAACCTTAATATTTCAAACGATGCGTTTCAATTTGTCTTGGCTTAAATAAACCAATCATATTTTTATCTATGGCTCAAAATGTGTAATTATGAGCATTCGATATTCTATTTCTTGTGTACATATACATGTATAATTATATTATAGCATTATTTGTATTGTCAATATAGATCTTAAAAATAATATGTTTCTTTTTATTTTTTACAGGTTCTGGAATCAACTTGTTCGGTGGATATTACATTTTTTCCATTTGACACACAGATATGTGAGTTGAAGTTCACAGCATGGAGTTATACACAATCTCATGTCGATCTGGATGTGGGGAGCAAAGGTGTACAACTTGAAGAGTATGTAGAAAATTCCGAATGGGAATTAGTGCAAACGTCAGCAAGAGAGACGAATACCGATGAAGCAGCTGTATTCTTTACGTTAAAATTAAAGAGGCGACCAAACTTTTACGTGTTGAATATCATTGTACCAGTAATTTTCCTCTCCCTCCTGGACATATTTGTGTTCATTCTGCCTGTGTCGTCTGGAGAAAGAGCAAGCTATGCGATCACAGTTTTCTTGTCAATGGCCGTTTTCTTAACAATAATAGCAGCAGCATTGCCACAAAATTCTGTGACAACGTCCTTGTTGTCGGTATACTTAATGCTTATGATAAGTTTGAGTACTTTTATTGTTATTTTAAGCATTGCAGAATTGAGACTTGCAACTCGAGACGTCAATATTCAACCTATAGGCAAAGGCTTTATGTTTTTCATTAAATGTTCAAATGTAATCACATGTAAGGTCTGTAGAAAGTCAGTGGCTCCAACGAGGCAACTAAGTTCGAAAGTAAAGAAGCGCAATCTTCCGGATGGTAGCGTGACATGGCCGGACATCGTTGAAGCTATAGATATTGTCTTCTTTTGGATCACAATGATATACACCCTTCTCACCACCCTTATCATCGGTGTAGTGGCTGTGAATGGTGGAGATACTTAGAAAGCTATGTTTTGTCACATGTTTTGTACCATCATGCCAATGTTATCAACATGGTTCTATATATTTATTACAAACGTCGCTAGTCTGTAGATGCTGCTTCAATCATTTAACTGTCAGAAATATATATATATCCTGCATGTGATTACAGTTTTATTGCATGTGGGAAATTACATGAATTTACTATAAAAGGTGGCATCCACGACAAGTAAGATTATTGCAATATCCCCTTCTAGAAGCGAGATTCTGACCCGGAACAAAAATATTCAGACGTCAATTTCTTTTAATTATTAAAGGTGGAAGCCTTTTTACCTTATATAAAATGACATGATAAATACTTGTATTGCCGAAATAAAACCCAAGTTCAAATAAAAAGGTTTTGTTTTCCAAACTTCAAATCAGGAAACTGGAACATGCTACTGCGAGTGGGAAGTGGAACGGTGGTATACCCGTCTTGTTGATGAATAGATGTTATTCGGAATGGGGTAAATATTCTTCTTGCTGACAAAAAGATGGGACGGTGGTGGCCGTCTTGTACAAAATAAATGTTTTTGTTAGAGGCACTTTTATAACCGTCTGGTAGGTATGTAGATTTTATTGTGAGCGGGACGAGTATGCTTCTTGTTGACAAAAAGATGTTACTGGGAATTTTATGGTGTTCCCGTCATGTAGACAAAAAGATGTCACTGTGAGTGGAAATGGTTATCGCCGTCTTACAGACAGATTTTACTTTTTACTGGGAGTGGGACTGGTACCAGTGTTGTAGATATATATTTGTTACTGTGAGTGAGACGGGCGATTGGGACAGGTATAACTTTCTTGTAAGATAATATATGATACAGTGAGTGGGACGGGTATACTCGTTTTGTAGGTATCAAAATGTTACTAAAAGAGCATTGTACAAGTTACTCCTGGAAATACATTGATAACTATTATGTGTTCTTACATTTTAGCTTTACAAAATGAATAAACTTGAAAAGTATGAAAAGTGTTAATTAGTCTTAGATGTATGATTTTATCACCAGATGAAAGGAAAAATATTCAGACGCTGTTACCATGGCAACATTGAACAAAACAACAAGAAACAGTAAACAAAATGCTGATTTTATGTTACAAATTATAGGTTGTCAAATTCGGAATTGGCTTTCACTATGTAAACACAGTATATGCAAAGAATGTCATAAAACATGTACACAGCCTTTCTATATAAGAATTATAAGGGGCAAGAGAATCGTTCACAGAAGAAACTACTTGTCACTAAAATCAAGTACAATATGTAGTAAAAAAAAGAAGTAAAAATAATTATCCAAAGTACCTGTAAAAATATAATGATAAACGAAATTTGTAAAATACTGAAATCAATAGGAATCAATGGCTCCCGCCATTTAACATCTTAATTATCTTATTTATTTATTTTTTATTTATAAACAAAACTCATGGCCCTTAAGGGCATAAGAGTGAACAATCAACAAAACAAAAAATAATAATACAAACATGGCATGAAGTAAATAAGTAAATAAGGAAGATGACTTATTGAAATTTCAGCATTATAGCTTTGACAAAAATGGCTAGATTAAATAAAGTATTTCTGTTGTCGCTACACATTAGAGCCTGAAAATTTGAAATACTAGGAAACCTTGAATAATAGTTACTGATATACCTGTGAATGAAATTCATCACCTATTTCTTGTTGATTACAAAGTGAGCATGTTCTATTTTCTCTTTCAATACCAAAATAGCGACCTTTCTATATAGGTATATCAGAATTGAGACAGCTAAATTTACAAAGAGTAATTTCTAGATTACTTGGTAATCATAGTTAATAATGCTCTAATATAAATTGAGTTAACTTTTATAAATTCTATAATTTAAACAATTAACAGAATTAAATACATAAATATTGCATACTTGTAAAAACTAATCACGTAATCGTGATTTTATTACATATTTAAAATTATTAAAATTTGCAACATTCTGAGTTATCCAAAAATCAGAACAACCAATATTATTCAAAGTAGATTTTACTTTCTCGATCCACTGACAATGTAAAATACCCTTTTTATCATGAAGATTATACATAGTGCGGTACAAAGAATCACATATTTTATCATTTTTTACCATTAACTAATTTACTCCAAAAATTTAACATTCTGCAAGTAATATCATTTTCAATAGGAAATACACCTAGTTCTCCCAAGACCATAACCGAAGGAGCTGACATCTTAAGTTTAAGTATATATTTATAAAATTTCAATTGAAACTGAGAAATAATAGAATTATTTTCAGATCCCCACACCTCCGACCCATACAATAATATTGGCTTAACCATACTATCAAACAACTGTAACTGAATATCAATTGGCAAACACAATTTCTTAATTTTAGTTAAAATACTAAACATAGCCTTCCTCGCTTGATCTGTCAAGTGCTTTTTTGTTTTATTAAATTTTCGACTTTTCGCTTGGCGGGGTCGCGGGACGAAAACACGCTAATTAGCGGAAGGGGGGGGGCGGCGAAGTTTTATTTATTAAACTTCGCCCCGCGACCCCGCCTTTTTGTTTCTTAAATCTCGCTCCGCGACCCCCCGG